TCAACTATATCATTCGAGATGTATAACCCAGAGCGAATCAGATAAAAAGCGCAAAAGAGCACCATGAATGCACATGCCCCTCAAAACCGTTATGCAATAGGCGCCCAGGGCGCATATGGTATTCTTTGTAATTCTCTCAATCCATACCGTCGGAGTTCCTCATGACCATTCAAATATACGCATATACTTATCATCTCGCTACGCCCCGTCCCAACCAGTTAATCTGACACCTACCAACATACTCAGTCCACTTTGCTCAATGACTTCATGGATTTGTGGCATGTTTTAGGTGTTGGCCACCCCTAGCCGTCCTTCCAACCTGCCCTAAATACGAAACCGCCTAGATCGTCAAGCGCCAGTCGCATGGTTAATAACATTCGTAAAAAAAAAAAAAGCACATGTCTAACAACTCACCTCAACTTGATGAAGTTTCACTACCTTCATCTTATCTGATCTGACATCCTTAACACTATGTAACCGTACTTCCTAGTCACCCATCATTTGAGTACTCGCAGTGGGCTCGAGTAGGATATACCGAAGCAATGCTACGAATATCCTCTACTACTACTGCACAATGTTTCACAGCCACTATAGTAGGACGGAAGCAATGCTGGCCAATGGACTCGTCGTATTGGGGGATTAAGCAGACGTAAGTCACCTAACGCCGCATAAAGTAACTGATAGTTTGTCAAAAGCCAGTGAAGCCTTATGATAGTGGCGCTGAAGTTTCGCTCAGACAGAGGCTACAGCACGATCGAGAACCTCCAAGATCAAATGAATCGAGATCAACAAGCTGTACAGTCTCCTTTGTAGAAGATCCTTACACTGAAAAGCTCGGACGAGAGGTCCAACTTTAACGCATCAGAAGCAATGTCTAATTACATAGTTGCAAACACGACATGAATAGGAGTGTACAGCCATGACGGACATCACTTGAATTAACGAATTCCGATGACAGATTCGCCAAAGATGTTACTCGCACGTGCGAAGAGCAACCCTTTAAGGTTAATGTACTTCTTGGTACACCTTAAAGTGATCGACACTGCCACAGACACCTCACGATCGACACAAATCAACGCCCGCCTCAAAATACAGGAATACAACTATGTTGGACGCCTAAATGCTGTTTCTGTACCTGTCTTCATAAAGATCTGCTCGTTATAAGTAGTTAATGATGTCGGCTTAATACAGCCCGCGTACAGCCTGAAAACCAGTCAGTTTCTTTACGCTTCTCTTTGTTAGGCGATCGAAAGTCTCACGAGAGCCTAACAATTCAGACACTATATTAGATTAACATGCCTCACTCTAGCTGATTGTCCCCTTTTAGTTGAGACAATCAATGCCATTGCAAGACTAGTCGCGATGAAGCATTACCACCACATAGCCTCATATTTCACTCAAAAACTCAGTCAGGTCTATCTCGCTAAAACTGCACCACCCATCTTAAAAATTCCCAGGGAGTAGGCTATTAGGCTCTAATCTGCCACGCCCTTGCATCAGAATTTACTATAGCTTGCTTAATCCATAAATACCTCTAGCAGGACTATACGATTGCGTTGGCTATTGGCTTTTTTTTTTTTTTTTTATGTTTTTTTTTGGGCAGATCGTGCGGGACACCGAATTGTGGCTAGAAGGACAGTCTGAATTAGCTCCCTGAAAGTGTTCTCATACGGTCGAGTCTCCTAGAGAGATTACGACGTGAATGCACACAGCACATCGATCTGGTGAGAGTTTCTTTTTTTCTCTACGACACTCAACGCCGACGAAAAAAAAACACGGTGGATTGTAATACGTTTACTATGATTTCAGGCGGAACTTTGTCTCTCTTCACTGCATCATCATCTCTGCATTTCCTCCCCTCTCGCTTTCAGCTACCCAAAGAACCCACACGATGCGCGTGTTAGAAATTCTTATGCAGCCTGTCGCTATAAAGTAGAGCTTCGCTCTCGTCATGTCCACAACCAGATGGATAGAAGACTTCCGACGACCTTACAGCTTCGTTGATGCTACTGAGATCCAACCGCCCCCCCAACTTATACTTAAACCTCAAGGGTGGCATCACTTACATCGTTGCCTAACCTGCTATTTTCCAGATGTCCTGAAATATATCTTCTGCTTGAAGACTATCTATTCATTAAGTAGCAACCGTGAGAAGCGTCTTCCTGCATTGTCCTTCCTACGTCCAGTAATGACGCAGAACTACTACGCGCCTCGCCCAGAACATGATGTGAATGTTCAAAAGTGCTCGAGCGAGAGCGAGCAGTTATCAGATGGAGAGAGCCTCTCTTCGTTGGCGGCTGCCGTAAGCAAGTGTGGTACTAGTTTCCGCCGTCCCTCGTTGAAATGGCTTTGCCGGTGAGGTCGCTCGTGTTTAAGAAGTATTATTTCCTATGCCTAAAACTAGTGTTCCTGGCCCTAGAAATAGGTGGTTATCCAAAGCAAGCTATCAAGCCAGTCCCACACAACATTCTTAAGGTTATTTCAAGACCCAGACAGCTTCTATATACCAATCATACCAAAAACCCATCAAAATTATCACGAGCAAATGGAAATAACGGTGCTCGGTGACTATGACGAAACGTGAACAATAAACAGGCAAAGCCATTGCGAATATAAACCAAGTAATAAAATAATTAATCGCGTCGATCAGAAGCGCACATGCACACAGTGCCGCCCATAAATGTGTGCGAATGAGGTCTAGTCAGTTAATTAATTATAACAGTCACCTCCTAAGACTCTATCATTCATACTAATCTTCCTGAAATCGCAATTATGTTGTGTATACGCTCATATTGTTAACTATCATTGATAGTGTCACCACTTCCACTCTCTGCGTAATTATCTCATATTTTCACCATAGCCGATACTCGATATCGGTTTGGATAATCGAACAAATTTCATATATATGCCAGGCCTTCTATGTGGTTATAATTGAATATACTGTTAATTTATGCATATTTGTCATTTACATGAATTTCTCCCTTCGACACTACTATCGATATAGCATGTTCTGTGCGCATTGTAAGTATTGTTTTATATCAACGAGCATGTTCCTAACTTATTTACACAAACTAGAGCAGTGGAAGATGTTATTTCGACGTGCTTAAATCAGAATATATTTGCCTACCTGCATAACATTACTGCATGGTAAATCAATTATAAAAAAAAACAGACACCCAACAAAATAAAACCAGTTCTTACGATAGGGCGTGAATATGCCGCATCGTTGGTGCTCAGCTTTACAAATCGACACTAGAGAAATTGATAGGCTCAGAAACGTAGGTCCTTTAAGTTCAAGTTAAGCTAGTATATGCTTATCTTAAATTCATGTTCCACAAATCTCAGCCCCTTTCTAATACTCAGACAAGATGAAATCGTTGTATTAAGACAAATGACTAAATGATGACTTTGCGCATTTTCAAATTCACTCAACTAGCTTAAAGCCTGTTCTAGTGTCAGTATCGAAATCTGTATTCACCATAACTTTGATTTGAACAACAAGATAGTAATAAAGCAACATCTTACTTCGTGTACAACATTGATTACCCATATTATATATTAATTAAGGAATGATATCTTCGCTTTCTTATTTTTTAACAAGCATACTGTGATTTCGTTACTGAGTCATATAAAGTATACACTAGCGAAACAACGGATTGCATTTTTAGCCTGACATATTAACAGTTGATAGTTGTTACACGTCGATAACTCTCTATGCAAACTCAATCTGGCTATAAGTTTGAAGATAATTGCCATAGATATTGTAGTTACATACTTGTGTATCCTTCGATCCTAGAATAGTCATCTTGAAGCGTATTTATTTATTGCAACTCCAAGCCATACTTTGTTTTCTAATAAAATTTGCCCTGAACTAATAATACATTACCTTTACTTATATCAATTATATAGATTTATATTGAGCTAGTACGTGCCAACTTATGCCAGATTGTTATCATAAGACAGGTTGGTTTGATAATTCCTAGAATTATGCATGATTAATTAAAGCTAGCGTCTAATAGTAGAATCTATAAGCCACTTCGCTATTAAAGTATTATTTCTTATTAACCCAATTTATGGGGACAAAAATTTACTCCTAAGAGATAACTTATAAAAATATTTTCAAGAATGCAAATAAATTTAGAGCAAGCGTAAACATAGATCAATGTTCTTGTCTTATAAAGGTGATGAAGTACAGCTCATGTTGATCGCCATAAATTACTTAGCACAGACTTCATCGAAAACTCAAACTATAAGTCAACAATGGTGATCGAACAAAACCTTATAGATAAAAACATCTTACTCGTTAATCAGGTGGACAGTTATATGAAACTAAGTATCTAGCAGACACCTAGATTTTAATTTTAAAACAAATGGTATTAAGGCTTCATGTCCCAAAAAAATATATCATTAATTGGAATGCAGATCAATACATACATCAGCCACGAATGATATAATATCCGTCAATTCCAACATCCATAGCTAGAAGAGGTAATACAGGTATTACGAAGTAATACGGAGGGCTTAGCCGAATTAGAACGATATATTGCAAGAAGTATGATTCAGCCTGAGATAAAGTTGAGAAAGTCAAAACTAAGAGGCGATTAGAAACAATCCAGAGATCTAGGATATTACAGAAAACCAAAGAATAAAGACAATGCGCGCCATTGCAAACAGAAGTTTGAGCCCATGTCAATGCCAGCCGGTCTCAACCCATTCGATTATTTCATCTCACGACCCAAACCAAGGGAGTGCGACAACTACCGACATGGCTCAGTCCACATGTCAAATGACTTCATCAGACGATTTCTGCCTCATGTTTCTTGGGCGTTTCTATGCTTTGCCGCCCCACTAACTATTCTAAAATTGCAATCGTATTTATAATTTCTAATTATCTCTATTTAATTATACTTAACACATAGTAGGTGAGTATACACAAATAGGCTGGAACGTGCAGGTCGTCGTGTTTTAGATGACTCCGGCTTCTGTAATTATTCTACTTGGTGGAATACGGCCCAAAAGCACTTAACACACTGTAGTATTTGGGCGTCTACCATCTTGAGCATACATTAAATGATAATTATTCTTGGCAGACAACTCAATTAGGGTGTCGAAAATTATAAAATCACTTAAACTCTATGATACTTACATTTACCATCGAACGAATTGCAAGTTAACTCCACAGATATTTCATGTATTTCATGTTTAACATTTTATTATGCTCCCTTTCTGTAAGTAGAGGATCATATATCAATGGACTGTCTTCCCTCCTACAAAACGATAATGAGATATGATTCTATCACTGTACTGGTGTTTAGCAATAATTTGCATTATATTATTATTATTAATTAAAATTGTTTTGAAATTATTTATTATTAATTTATTATTTTTATTATTATTTCCTTCAAATATACGTGCATAAACAAAGGACGTTATGCGACGAGCTTTATGGAGGCAGCAATCTTAGACGTGAACTCTGAGCGTAGACAATGGTTATCAGCTTTAAACAAAAAACTAGATGAAACAACTACTCTTATACCACCGGATGCGATTATCATCAAATGTATCATCTCATCAACTTGTTCCGAGGTTCAACTAGTAAAGTTGCAATATCTATGAATAGCAGTTCTCGCTTATCTCCCACCGTACCGATTGACTGAAAGCCTACTTGTTACAATGATAGAATGCCCTTTTTGGTCAAATAAGTTGTTGTTGATTCAATGACCACTATTAGGTTAGTTTGTTGTATAAATATATTCTTTATTATCAAATAGACTTCCAGATTACATAAGAAGGTCAATAACAATATTTTTCTCTTACGAGGCTCAGTACGTTTTCTTTTGTGTATCTATTTTTCCGCTGGAATAAGTAAATCTAGAAATAGCTCCAACAGATTTCATGTTTCATATCTTGCAAGATCAAATGTATATCATTCCTTCTGATAAAATACACATTATTATCGTTTCGTACATATCAACGGCTTAGTAATTAAGTTATTATGAATCACTTTTTTACAAACTCTTAAGTTACAGGACTGAAACTCGTCATTCTATTGGTTGACTAAATTAACTAGGTCACAGTAAATCGGTAGTGTAACAAGGATGCATCACAAAAGGTGTACAATCGTTTTCTTTTGAATACATAAGTATAGTGTAGTTTATATTTCCTCACAGATGTCGCAAAATTTCGAAAAACTGGTATTAATTCATAAGTGATCTGATATTTTTTAATATTTGGTAACTAAACCGTTTCACCATATAGTGCGATTATTTACTAACGTACGTTAGCATTATGTTCATCGAGGTATTGTTTAGAAAGGGCCGTTATCTGTCTTTTGGTTCTTGATATACTCGTCGATTAATATGCTTGAATACTATTAACGAGTTCACCTTATTCGGTAAAAGCGGACGAAGGCAATAACTCAGTGACACGATAGACTATTTCTGATCCGTTGTCTCCGGCCCCGACTGACTGCATCAAGAGGTCTTGATAAGACATAGAATGTGTATTCTACAAGCACCAGATAATACGAGGTTGACAAGCACACACAAATCGAGGCTTATTTTACATGATAAAACAGCCCTTGGAAAAGCCCACAAAATAGCGTGCTAAAATAATCCACCAACCAATGACAATCAAGGATTTTTCGGGTGGGAAATGTAAGCTCACGGTTAACTAGCGACGTATGCGCAAAAACATACACAAATCCAAAATTAGGATCCTTTCCTTTCCAAGTGAGTTTTCGGGATCTAACGTCCCCGACAGTTCCTGGTTCATACATATACGTTTTCTAGAATATTGGGTTTTGTTGACAGTGAGCAGTTTGTGGTTAGAATACGCTTGATCATAAACTCTGTTTTAGTAATATATCGATCTTAGGCCATAGCTTTTTCAATGTTCCGTAAAGTGTATTATCTAACATTTTTCCATTCATCTAATGAGCCAGTACTGGATATTGAACGTGATTTTCTCTGAAGATTTTATTTTTGCCATGTAACGCTGTCTTTTTGTCTTCTGCAAACACGCTACTGTAACGAATCACAGTTATCGGATGAAAAAAGAAATCCAAAATGGAATGTTAAAGATTAAAATGAAAATCCCCAATGAAAATTACATCTGTAATCCTCACTCATTCACACAAAAGAACAGCAACGATGCTAGGTACCGCACATATATTGATCATTGAATGAATGCGCTACAAATTTTTGGAAAATTATTGCATATCAGTTTTTAAATAAATTCAAGTTGAATATTTTTTTTATTTCAATACATAATCAGTAGCAGTTTATTGAATACTAATTAGTTTTTTTTAAGAGCTAACTAACACATTGGTGGTAGTGCATAAACTTTATATCTATTGATTGTAATTCGTATGATTTCTTTAAAGCTTATGCTGGTATTCGTTTATTTCTTGTTCAAGCTCTCGAATTATAACTACTGGATTTGTAAATTGGAGTTTTACAGGGTGTCTATTTCCATTTTTGCACCGTTTGATACATTATTCATTAGCTATCACATTCTGATAGTGGGTTGTAGTATCACTAGTAAACTTTTAAATTGTTATCACAATACATAATTAAGAGATTTATTCACCTTTTTAAATGTATTCATTTTACTTCGATTAGTTCAAAAAGAAATAAAGAAACTGTATTTTTTTCAATCGATTGATCACTAAATAGTACTAAGTTTTATCTCGTAAGCAGAAATAACTGAAATAAGAGGAATTGCCAATCATACACAATCACCTATTATATTAACTAGTTAAAACATGAGCAATAATCATTTTCTGTGTATTTTGGGTTTTCTTCTCTGCCTAATGTGTACAGGTTGTTCTTTGTTAAAAATTTGCAATTACGGAATTCGAATTTGTTGGTACTGTTCTACTTTTGTTGTTGTTGTTATTATTATTACTGCGTGGTAAATGTATTCACACTATATGAAAGAATCAATTTGCTATTGTCTATGCTTTACTGGTTTACGGTTTATATTTCCAAAGTTTATATTATTATTATATTTATTCATCTAAGGGATTTTCTTGTTTGAATGTACCGAAACATTGACACATTGCAAGTTTATTTTGTTTCATGTACTGTGCGTGTGTGTGTATATATATATTTACTTGTACACTATTACTACTCTTTCCTTCTTTGTATGTTTGATGCGTTGTAAACAGTAAATTACACATTTTATGTTTCATAATTGTCTTTGAAATGAGGTGATGGTCTTAAACACTGAAAATCTCTCTCATATATATATATATATATATATATATATATATATATATATTTGTTATAACTTTATTTCTTCGGTTATTATTTTATATCGCTGAGATTATGCAGGCACATAAGTTAGCCTCAACTTGCACGCTTCAACTTGTGTTAAGCATATTCAATGTTTTCTTTTTGTAAAGATTTCAATGTACTTCGAACTTCTTGAAGGAAATGGAAGTCTGACTGATTAGTTTATCTTTCACTACGATGATTGTTTCCATCAAGAAGCATTGAATCATTGAGACTGATGAAATTTTCGAGAATATAATTTCACATTTATTGTGTCTCTATATTTATTTATGTGAAAATATTTGTTATTTTTCTCTCAGATTTTCAAATACTTACAAAGTCTTCTCTTCATCTGCCTGATTTCTTTGTTTTGTTTTTTTAAAACAAATTAGGCCTGTTGCAATTATCAAAAGCTTACAGCAACTATTGTCCGTTTACTGGCTGAAGAAAATATATCTGATCTACAACGTGTATTCTGTCCAGGTCGTATAGTATTTGTTCATCTACCACAAACTGATCATTCATTATACAGTAAAGTACCTGTGAAACAACCCGATTGGTTAGTACCAGGTGTTTTGGTAAATCTGAGTAAGAAAAAATTCATGAATGAAAGTGAAATACAGGTGGGTTCTAGCTATTTATTTTGGATTATCTATAGAAGGACAAAGTGAACTTTCCTAGTTTTTTCAGTCAGTCACACACAGTATTGAACCTGGTTGGTTCAAGTTTCTTAATCTCATCGACACAGAGACATGAAATTAATTAGGTTAAATCCTAGAGTTATAGGATTAGTAACAATTTTAATGTTCGTATAAAAGACTAGGCATTGAAAATGAAATCCTGGTTAGTGAGTTAAAAAAATATAATCTTAGGATCTTCAATAAGACAATGAATGATGTGAATGATTTTCAACCTTGTCACTCTAAGTCTCTAATCATTGGTCACAATAATCACATGAACCTCAACCAGTTAGTCCTCACTATTTACATGGCTCAGTCCAGTAGTCAATGTCTTCATCAATTGGTGAAAAGTCTGAACTATAACACTCCTAATTTTTTTTCCAACCTGCTACAACACCAGCCATCATCGTACGTTTAGGTAGTCGCTGTATGGGCACATGTAATTCATGTTCTAGGTGTCTCAGTCGACAATGGTTTGCAACCTCGTTAATCGATCTACTTTCTTTATATAACCTCAAAATCAATAACCCTATGGTCCCAAAAGTTACTAGCAATGATTGGAAGTCATCTAGCATCGATTACTAGTAACTTTGGCATATTTCAACTTGATCCCTGCAAATGATCTATCTCCATTAGTATAGTCTCGAACTTGTACATGAACGACAGTACGCTGTATGATCTTTACGGCAATTGCATACTATGAAAACTTTTCTTCAATCAATCGTATTTGAGCATACGAACTTATAGACTTCCAGTCGTTAATGAATCACTGTATCTACAATTGTGGGATTATATTTCTGATTAATCGCTCCACCTACGTTATTTCAAGTAACCACTACGTATTACTAGTTCTCAATAAGTATCACTATCTCTACATAGTTGGTTATTTGTATCAATACTTATTGGATGATCAGTTTCAAAACATTACAAATCGATTCTTTCTGACCTTCATCCATATTTTTTTATGTATAAATCATATAAAGCTTTTGATTTCTACTCATATACGCTCGATGAATGTGTTTCCAAAAACACACTACTCAATAAACCAGACGATTATCGATTTTAAAACTCACCTTGATATTGTTTGTTTCTGTGTTGTTTCCAAAATCCGATGATGATACATGTATTTTGTTAATGCGAATCAAATATTTCTTTTTCTTTCATTGTAATTATTCCATATTACTTTACTTTGCTACTGCAAAACTCTATAAGTGTACTTGTTCTTGCTTTTGCTGAAACTGATAGTTTTAATTTTTGTAAACAGAGAATCCTTATCCAACTTTATTGATCTATGAGTTTTGTAGGATTATTCCTACATTTCATGCTTTCAACGACTGCATATCCTAACCGTATAACCTATTGCCTAATTCATTGTGGAATCAAGCTTCAAGCTCGGTAGGCTAATAAATTTGGATACACCATAATAAGAAGAGGAAATTTGCCATTCTTTACTGTATTTCATATATATATTTTCTTGACTTGACCTACGCCTGTTACCCCGAATGGTGCATAGTCCGCCAACCAGTATTCTCGAACCTAATGCATCCTGGGCTTCCCCTTCCACTTCTGCCCAATTTTCGTTCATTCTTCTCATCTTTGCTTCCATTACTCGGCATAATGTGTTCCTTGTACTTCCCCCTTACCTTTGACCTTGAGGATTCCAAGTGAGGGCTTGTCTTGTGACGCAATCGGGTGCTTTCCGAAATGTGTGTCCTATCCACCCCCAGCGCTTCTTCCTGATTTCCTCGTCCACTGGTATCTGGTTTGTTGTTGCTGATGACGTCTGGCCGACGGGTCAGAAGTGTTTCACGTAGACAACTGTTAATAAGTACTTGTATCTTCTGGATGATGTCTTTCGTATTTTTCCAAGTTTCCGTCCCATATGGTAGAACTGTCTTGACATTTGTATCGAAAATTCTGATTTTGATGTTTGTTGTCAGTTCTATTGAGTCCCAGATGTTGTTTAATTAGAGAAATGCAGTCCTTGTTTCACATCTGCATCAGTTTCACGTTGCTTGACTGTGATGCTGCCCGGATATGTAAAGGCTTTAACATCCTCCAAGGTATCTGCATCAAGAGTGATTTGGTTGGTGTATGTTGTGTTGCATCGGAGAATTTCGCTTTTTCCTTTATGTGTGTTGAGGCATGCTGCTACACTTGTTGTCTTCTCTTGCATGGGTGATAGAAGAGTCAGATTGTCGAGCTGCATCCTGGTTGAACGCTGTGTACCGTGTTTCCCTCCAAATGTTGACGTCTTCATAATTCGTATAACAACACGAACTTATGTGCGCACGTAGTTAGTTCTACGTTATGACTGACTGACGTCTTCATAATCCAGTCGAACACCAGGAGAAAGAGAAAGAGTTGGAGTAAGCAACCCAGCCTGACGCCGGTCATCACCTTGAACGAGTCTGTTAGTGGGCCATACACTGGATTAAAGCATGATTGTGTTGTTGCACGCTGATTGGCTCTTTTGTATCCAATCAGCGCTGGCCGGTACTTGGGGGGAACAGTCTATAATCTTCTCATGTAAAAAACTATTAATATACTGTCTTTTTCTTTTGAAACCTTCTGTCTTCCATCTAACCTTGTTGTTGGAATATAATCTACTTCCTGTTCAACCATGTTCTGATTTGGGACAACGTCTCGAGTGAATTGGTGTCCAATAATACTTAGCATTAGGAATAGCTGGGTTGCAATATGGAGAGTATTATAACAGAATCAGTCAGCTATCCTTCGTGTACGATTTTGCAGTTGAATCCATCATAAGAACTCCGTATGATGTTGACTATCTCCTCAGGCACGCCGATAACGCCTCCATAATGTTATCCTGTCACGCTATCAAATGCTTTCTAGTAATCAATGAAGTTGATGTAGAGTGGTAAATTCCATTCATTTGATTGCTCCAAGATGATCCGTAATGTTGCAATTTGGTCGGTACGCGGTCGATCCTTACGAAATCCAGCCTGTCGATCTCGAAGTTGGGCGTCTACGAAGTCCTTCATTCTGTTTAACAACACCCTGTCCAAGGCTTTGCTTGGTATTGAGAGAAGAGTGATGCCTCTGTCGTTCTCATACTTGATGAGACTGCCTTTCTTTGGTATCTTGATGAGGTATCCTTCTTTCCAGTCTGTTGGTACTTGTTCTTCCTCTCAAATCTTGCCGAAGAGAATGTGGAGTACCTTTTCAGTTACTGCCACGTCTACTTTCGTTGCCTCCGCTGGAATGTTATTTATTCCCGTTGCTTTGATGCTCTTGACTCGTAGCTGATTTGTCTGATGGCCGTACTGATTTCTTCAATTGTTGGTGGGTCAACACCGATTGGTCTGTCTGTGGATGCTGCCTCGATGTTAGGTGGGTTTCAGTGGGGTTAGTCGATTCAAGAGTTCCTTAACATATTCTACCCACCTTTTTCCTCGTCCTTCAATGCCGGTGATTACGTTTCCTTCGTTGCTTTCAACTGGTCGTCCTGGTTTACGATATTTCCCAGCGGGCTTCTTTGTTGTATCATACAAGTGTCTCATATTCCCTTCTATTGCAGCTTTTTCCGTTATCATCGTTGGGTTTCGATATATTTACGTTTGTCGGCTGTGATGTGCTCCTCTTGACTTGCTTGTTTGCTTCTCTGTATTCATCTTGTGCCTTGGGTTTCTCCGCTCTTGTTCGGCATATATTGATTACTGCCTTCGTGTTCCTCCTTTCTTGAATCTTATTTAGTGTGAAAACAGTGATCCATTCCCTGTGATAGTGCTTGTTTTGTCCCAGAACCCCATGACATGTTGAAGTGACTGCCTCTTGATGCCTTTGAGTTGTTTTTATGGCAGTTTCCTCTCCATTGAGTAGATTGTGACAAGCATGGGACCTATTGCTGATGGCTTTCTTGAATTCGCTGAGTTTGTCACTATCCCGAAGATAGGCGTATTGAAATTTTGCTGTGTTTTCCGTTGCTTCTTTTGTTTCCGTTTCGTTTTGACGACCATTAAGTGATGATCCGAGGTTGTATCAGCTCCTTTCTTGGTTCTCATGTCCTGTTTGGAAAGCGTCATAGCAACTCTGTGTATGTGTAACATTTCCTTCTTCATGACCGAGTACAACATCAGCTCTCCTGAAGCTAGTCTCAGTTGTCAAACCTGTGTCCGATGTTTTCCACTGATTCCAAGTAACTCCAGGTTGTATCTTTTAATCTGTGTAGCAAGTTGGATGACTCTTCTGGTCTCATACCTTGTACAAACATTCCATGTACCTAAGTCAATGCTTGTTCTGGTTCCAGGAAGGGGTGTTGGCCTCGTGACTTCCGAAGGAATTCGGTTTTTATCACGTGATGTAATTACTCTTTGAATCGAAGACCTTCTAACTCCCAGGGCAGAGGTAAAATGGTTTTAAATATTTTTTCTGGTTAGAGATTTTTTTAGCGACTTAGTTCTCTGCGGGATGGGTTGCCAAGCTTATTCCTGACCCTCCCACCTAATCATTGCCTGGGACCATCAGTTGCCCCAGAAGAGCTCCAGGCGGAGTTTCCATATATATCTACAATTATGTATGCCATTATACTTTCTAGATCTATTTTTATGTTATATTGCGTGAATAATCGCAGGTAAGTGAAAGACCTGAATCTAGTTTTCGTTTCTAGAGTTGTTAGTACCCATCACTAAAACTTATCTACAGTTGTGAGATGACTTATATGCTTCTCATAGGATTTATCTCTTTTCGTCAATTTTCTCTATTCTATGTTGTATTTCATTAAAATCACGAGCATACCTAGGTTAGACGACCATTATCAACCCTAAATCACCAGATAAACGTTTCTTCCAAGCGACCTCACACAAAGATGAAGATCCTGGGTTTGATTCCCTATGCTGTGAAATCGTAAATGTATACTTCTGAGTTCTATACTCAAACCAAAATCTGCATCTAGTGCTTCCAAGGTTTTAATGGTTTTCTAACTAAGATCGGTTCATGATCTCAACTAAATTTAACAATTTCCACAATCTCATACTAATAATGCCATAAATTTCTCCTGCGATTTTTTATTATCCGTTGGTCTCTGTATTCCACTCAATACCTCTTAAATTTTATTACAAATCAAAACAGGCACACTGTATATATTCCAACCTTGGTACTGATACCTACAAACTCATTAATAATTGAATTAATCCGATCGATTTAGACCGGCTGATCAGAGTATGCCATGCTCAGGACTTTATTCTTTTGACAATATTGATTTTATTTAATCATATTAAAGACTTAATTTTTATTTCCCCGCGTTAATTAACCATTATTTAATTTGTTATACATACCTGATTATAATTTCCATTACCTTTTTTCTCACAGTGGGATATTATCACTTGGCAATTGCCTAATTTATCAAATCATTCTAAATCATTCAAAATTTCTAATCATCAATCACCAATTCAAATTAATTCAGGGAATAATGCGAATGATGGAAAAGTAGAAAGCAATACCAATAATCAATTCAATGAATTGGATGAAGAGGATATTTTGAAAGAAGGTGAAGATTCTCAATTGTCCAATACACCATACCCTCCACAATTAATGCCAGTTTATATACCTGAAGTAAGTATATATATATATATATATATCAGTCAGATGCAACGTAGAACTTTGTACATCAGTTCATGTTGCCATACCACATCAGCACAGAGAAGTAATCGTCAATTCAAATCCAATAGGAGAAGAGGTAATAAAGGTATTAGAAGTAATCGGAGGGGTTAGAATTAGAAGATATTATTCACGAAGTATGATTCAATGAGATAAGTTTAGAAGGTAAAAACTAGAGGTGTTGAAGAATCCAGAAGATTAGGATTTGAGAGAACACAAAGCATTAATGCACCGGCGCCATTGCGAACGATTTTGAGCCATGTCATTCAAGGTCTCTAACCATCGATTATTATCATCTCGCGGACCCCAACCAGGTAGTCGACAATTACCGACATGGCTCAGTCCACTAGTCAATGACTTCATGGATTTCTGCCATGTTTTGGTTTGGCCACCCCTAGCTTTCTTCCAACCTATTCTTACACTACAAAACAAGGCTCGACGAGGCAGTCGGTGGTTGGGCATACGCAAGACATGTCCCAACCACCTCAACTGATGAAGTTTCACCACTTCATCGATTGATCTGCCATTCTTACCTAGTACCCGCTTCCTAATAACAGCGTTGCTCACTCGGTTGTCCCACGATATACGAGCAATGCTTCGAAGACACCTATGATCGAAAACCAGTAACCTACGAATATCTTCTACTCTCACTGGCCATATATATATATATATATATATATATATATATATATATATATACTATAAACGCATCTTCATCACTGTGTTGCTCTCTTCTCTGGCTTGCTTCGCTCTACACGCCACGACTACACACAGAAACTTTATAAAATCTCTTCCTATCATCTTTTTGTATAACAATTCTTTCACTTTTTTTCCACAAAATGCTTATTGAAGATGTAAGATTCTTTGAAAGAGAATACCTATGCAATTCATAGATATTTAGTGTATGTTGAACTGTCGAATAATTTACCATTGCTTGATCACTGTTTAGTTAACCAGTGTCTTGTAGGTCAAATCAATTTCTATCAACAAATTTGTCATTACTTGCTTATTGTTCATTTCCTTACTCTTATTATTGTTGAAATGAAGCTATAACTTTAGGAACAAGCCACTCAGCATTCAGAGAATAACTTCTGGGTTTTTGCGCCAAATTCAAAGGGAATAACTTTCGATTTAAAAAAAAGCAGTGTAGAAATGAGTCGATTAGACTTAAGAATGGGACTTTTGTGTTTTATTCTGTGTATTACTTGTTGATATGCAGTAAAAAGTTTTATTTTGAGTAATTTCTAAACGTACGGTGTGATGATGTGTTGCATCCTAAAGTATTTACATAAATTAATAACAGACATTTTGTTGCCTGTAAACCGTATCTATCCGTTGAGATACTGATTATTGTAATAGTGAGCCTATCTCACTGAATAATTTCCAATTTCTCTTAAACAAACGCAACATTAATGATAGCCGAACCGTAATCATCTGAATATCGAGCCTGTAGACAACAACGATATTTTAACTAATATTTACTGAATTGGAATAAGTAAGAATGGATTCCCCAGTTTCTGAAAAAGAAGATAATAGTGATTTCATGTAATTTATAATTGACCTGATCGCATATACCAACATAACAGATATGCTTTAACGATGATTATGTTAACTTGATATGATGAGTTCGTATCAAAAATAATATCTGGATGACCCTCAGTGATAAATGCAGTTACAGTTTGTACTAAACTTATGATTATCCAAGCAACATTTTTACTGACCTTGGGAGGTACAAAACGGTCTCGGAAAAATACTGTTTTCTATGTAACGTTTTATACGGGTCAACCGTTTACGTATTCTTTCAATTGATAAATTCTTATCTGGAAGTAACAACTTAGTTATTATTCAATTTGATAACTAAATCATTTCACATTTGATGTGATTATTTACTACACACAACTTCCCTTCTCCACGAACATGTAACATACAAACTATTGAATATTTTCTCAGATTGTAGCCTCTTTAATCTTGGTTACAGTTGATTTCCGATAAGATGAACTGGACGTGATAGCAAATGATACGAATTTGGATGTTTTTCCATTACTACATCAACTATCGTCGATTTGTGATTGGAAGCGTGATTGAAATAGGGTTGATGCTGGAGTTGCACGGCTGTGTGAGGCAATAGAGATTAATATGTCTGTTAGATTGATATGCACGATCCGCGTTTGAATGGGAACTTGCTTTTCGATGTCACCTATAAACAATGTACATCCAAGAGAACAGTAGTCAAACTGATTTGATCTGCAGTGACAAAGGAAAATTACTGCAGATCTTTATTTTAATATATTTGAAGCTCTCAAACTCCACCAAGTGATGTGATGTAATTTTACAGAGCAGCAGTATTTCGTATATTTAATTATTATTGCTACATCCATTATTAGCCCAGGCTATTGGCATATGAAAACTGCTTGTTTTTTGTTTACTGAAAACATCGTGAGGATTCATCTTTTGAGATGGGATGAGAAAGTTTTAAATATTAAAAAGAACACAAAAGCTATTGCCATCACTAGTTTATTTGTTGTTTTTTTTTATTTTATTTTCGGTTACGTGTATTCAATCACTGTTAAGATTAAGATTTAGCTGATTTTATGCCTATATTCTATCACAACTAATGTACATCTGTTTGTGTCTTATTGGCTATATGAGGACAATTCGCACAGTATGTCACTATACCAACTAAGCCTGATTAAATTTCACTTAGAAATACCACCAACGGAATTATTGACATTGTTTCACTTGGAATGACTTATATCAGATTGTTACATCAGTTTCTTTCGTTTCCTCAGCTGAATAGTTATGATACATCCAGTATAGTCAACTAAAAATAAGGGATTCAAACAAATATATTATTATACCTGATCAAATACCTTTTTTATTTATTCGGATTTGTTATTTCGAACATAATTAAATTTGTAAAATTTATTATTCATTTGGTTATTGATGGCGTTAGTCACTGGAAGATGCTTATGCTCGTTTGACATTATTATCTAATCTGTCTGCACGATCATTTGTACGAATTTGTGATCATGTTTTCACTGTACAACAATATTGTAATACTGTGAATAATGCAAATATTACACCGTCAGAATTATTACTTCGTGGTATTAAGCGTCATCGACAACAAATAACTGCACAACAAGCTGGTATGCTTTTAGTGATTGGTTCAAATTCAACGGCAAGTGATTGTGATCCACTAGTTCTTATAGATGAATTAAATGCGAATTTATTTAATCTTGTAACTTCGTTAATGCCGGAATCTTCTACATCAACAATGTTTGGTCTGCCAGCTAATTGGCCTACGAAAGTTGATTTAAGGACGTCGTTTAAATTCAAAGGAATTTCAGACGAGGTAATTTTCATGGTACATAGTAAAATTTATTTATCTGTTTATTATCTACAAACATACCTCAAGTGACCTGGATGTGTTTCAATTTCGAATTTTTTATAGTATATTCTCTGATTTATTGAACTGTCCTATTATTATTTGTAGTACGGTTTTACTACTAGTAGGGAAGCAGTAGTACAGTTATTATTGATTATACAACATATTTATTATTTGAAGACTGAATCGTTGATTTTTTGTGATCAGAGACTTCATTTTCTAGCCACTAGTTTTAATGTTCTTGTCCAGCTCCATTTACTTCAGTGTCAGAAGCACGATTGTTTCAGTACCCTTCACATAAAAAGTGTCACTCATTGATTGAGTATGTAAACCAGTTAGCGAGTAGTATCATCATCATTGTCAAGCTGGATTTTGAGTTCAAAGTTTCAATCGGTTGAAATATGAGTGCTTCAATCTCGTATACCTTTGAATAATACTTCGAACTTTCATAATATATTTATTATTATCTATTGATAATTTATTTGCAATTATTTGAACTTTTAGGATGCTTGTGTATTTGATGAGCATGCTTTACTCAGCGATGAACTAACAACTCCACTTCTGACATCAGTTATTACTCAACGTTTGGCTCCAGTTAGTTGTCCTGATCTAGTAGCACATTTGGAACTGATTCATCGTACTTGCCGTCGCAGATGGGCTGTGAAACGAATTGAAGATAGTTTATCTAATTCACAGTTACAATTAAACACTGAGTATATGGGTCGTTTACATGTTCTCCAAGAGCTGGGATTTATTGATTCAGCAACACATACTGGTTGTTTGAGTTTAAAAGGTTGTTAATTATTATAATTATTATTTTACGCTGTGCATTTCAAAATGCCGTAAAATATACTTGTTAGTATGCTATGATAATGTCCAGATAAAGTTGCAGAAAGTTGTGCTTCATCTACTTCAGTTTGAGCACTTGAACAGTATCACTAGTCCTCATGCAAACGTGATTGTATTTTTTTCCTTTACCGTTTGCGATTTCCATCGGATTCAGATATTGTCAGATCACATTGAAATGGGATACTGCTTTGATATCACTCTGATTCCTTGAAAAAACTTCTCATGAACTTGGTCGGTCAAGCATCCATCTTACTAACGACAGCATAGAGAATGCATCGGGCATTTCAAACAATATTTTCGGAACTGTAAAATATACTGTCAAATTTAATGGTCTGATTATCGATTTCAGATGCTATGTTACTGATGAATCTTTCAACTTATCTGGTCTTGATTGAGTCACGGATTTAAAAATGAAATCCTAGTTGGCGTTTATATTTGTCATGTGACAATGGTCAGCGGTTAGGGATACATCAAAACCCTAGGAGATAGACTTATTTTTATAGGAATGGAAGGTGATAGAGTGAGCCAAGAAGCCAATTTGGAGATTAGCACGTGTCGCTATCGAATTTTGGACAGAAAACCGTGTAGCTAAGTTTCGTGCTATTTATCCCTCGTCATCTCTACATAATACACGCAATGTTGAGCCACTTAGACTATTAGCTATATTTTCAGCTTTATCGACAGAAATCAATCAGCATCAAAGAAGGCACTTGACATACATCACATTGGTCTCTACTTAGTGGTCAGTCAAACTGTAAACAACCTTAACTTCAAAGTTGTATTCTAAGTAGAACAATAGGTTACACATTGTAGTTACATGAACAGTCAGTATTTGTTTACAATAATCTGAACCCATTGCATTGATAATACACAAATCCACAACGGATTAATTGATCTAATTTATATCCCTTTCGCATAGGTTTTTTCTAAATGTTGGCATGTATTTGTCATTTCTTTTTCATTATTACTTATCTGAAGTGTGTGTGTGTGTGTGTGACCGACATCTTGAAATTGTTTATGAATTTTCCTTGTACAATTTCTCTATCTATCTCTCTCTCTCTCTCTGAATAAACGTCCATTTGTTTGTCTCTTTTCTTATTTTTTTTTCTTTTCATTGCATTCATTCAGGTCGAATTGCTTGTGAATTGATAAAAATGGAAGTGTTAATTACTCAATTATTACTTAATGGTTCATTCACTAATTTATCACCGCCAGATTTAGCCGCTGTTTTATCATGTTTTGTATTTGAAACACGTTCTACTGTTGATTCAGACCAATTACAACAACATGATGGTCAATATTTACAAAGTCTACTTGAATCACTAATGAATTTTACTAACGATGATTGTGATCAAAATCATATGTCTAACAGTAGTAGTTCATATGTTACTACTTATCCTCCACATCTTATACCTGCATTACAAAAGATTCTACTCTCTGCCATAGAGGTTTGTTTTTAAAAAAAAACGAATTATTCACTTTTTAAATAATTTTTGTTTGTTTTAAGAATTCTTATCTCTATGGATAATTCATAAACATTGTGATGTTGTGAATGTTTTTTTTTGTTGGAAATAATGTAATAATGAAAAAGTAAGACATTTACTCTGTAGGACGCCGGTTCAGTGGTTTAGATTTCACTTACTAGACCGAAAGTTCTAGATTTGATTCCTGCGTGCGATGTCGTCGAAACGTACTGATTTCAACTGTGAAAGATCATTGTTATATTATTAACCAATGATGATATTACTGAATTGATTGTAATAGAATTATGCTTTAATGAACTTGAATTCAACTTAAATTACTATTTTCTGACTACTAATGAATACTTGGATTGAAATAAATGAAAATGAACTTTAAAATATAAATTGAATTAACTAAACAATCATTGAAATCTGGAAAATAGTGGGTGACTACTATCTTAAGAATCTTCAACTTTAACCACTCACAAATTTTATCAAAGATCGAACTCTAAACTTACAGACCTTATGATGATGCTGTTTACCTTCAAAATTATAGAATTGGTATTCAATAATTCGTATGCTTCCAAGTGTACACTTATTTATAGGTATTAAGAACACCATCGATAATACTCACTTTAGCACCTGTTAAATTAAATTGTTAAAAGTTAATTTCCTAACATGTTTCACTATAATATCAGCTTTAAGTTGCTCACTATAACAAGTACTTTGTAATTTAGTACTTGCTTTATTGGTTAAAAAGTCCTTGGCTTTTAATCTGCTTTGTTGATTTTCTCAGGCGCGGGAGTCACTTGTCCTAACGTTCATATAAACAAATAATAATTCAAAACTGAGTACACAAATATGCACTTTGTGTGAAATGATTTCAATTGTAGTTAAATAATCTTTTTCATTTAGTTAGGGGCAGTATAAAAATTACTACATTATTTTTATTATTTTGTATTTTACTAGAGTTTCGATCAAGATGATGATGAATTAAGTGACTTTTTATGAAGTTGATTATTTTAATTGATTCGTTTCATACCTTTATACCAGATATCAGTTAAAAGGGAGAAATCATTGACAACTGGTTATCTCTAAACAGATGTTCCAATATATTTAATCATCTGTTTGTAAAAAATACTGTCAATAATACACCAAGAATAAAATTCTGGAAGTTCATACTGAATCAATACAAAAGAATAGTCACCTGATGAAACAACATCGTCTTCATGTCACTTACAGTCTACGATATCAAAAATCGCTATTCAAGTTCCATTACGCTTGCATTAGCTTCCATAATTTATGTAGAAAGTGTCTTTAATTTTAACAAATGATTCATTTGAATTCATTTTGTATCGCCATCGACCAGGGTTCTCCTACCAACTCTGTTCTAGGTTTTCCTTTCTAGTTACTCCCAAGTATTAATCGCTATTTTGATATCTGTCAGGACGATAGACTAAATTAACTTATTTTATTTAATGTTCCAGTGTCGAAAGGTAGCTTGCTAGAAGGTAGCCCCCCCCCCCTGTGATAAAGAACGATGGGATAAGTACTGCGCAATCCTCGGAATGTGCAATACCCCGGCAAAAGTGTGCCGCCTTTTCAAAGGCCAGAACATCTCGAAAGGGAAACCCCTCCCAATGAGGGTAACACTAGACTCGGCACAACGTGCCGAAGACACCCTCCTCTCATCCCAGAGACCACCGTTTAAATTATCCTTCCCGATCCGCATCAGGCACGATAAATCGTGGTCAGTACGAGCGGCACCCAAGAGCGAACCAGTATGGTAGTTCACGGCGTGCCCGAACTGGATAGTGGTAGTTTGGATGAAGCTCACGTGCATGATGTACAACAGTGGCGATGGCTGTCATGTAGCCTGTGTCTTCACACCACGAAGGTTATTTGCATTTCTAGGCTGCCTCTCCCGTAACACCTCACGTCCATTAAGTCACCATATCTGATGGTTGTGGAATTTAGAAATCGGGAAGGCCTAACTGAAGCGCTTCAGGCTTGATATAGCTCGAAGAAAGACATACAGCCACATTAGGTGTTGCGAAAACCGACCTTGATCTGTAGGACAACAGCACAGAGGCCAAAATAAACGCACAAAATTGACGATTGACCTCGATCAACAACGCCCGGTACAAGACACGAAGATAGTAGTCTCGTCGATCGGACGCACTGCACAGGCAAAAAGGCTGCACAAGTCAGTTCCCACAGAACTGGCCTACTCGGTTTGAACAACTTGTTTGAAAATCCGACAACAGCTGTTGTTTCAGAAGTGCACCAGGTGATGGGACAAACCACCAAGTGCCTCTATAGCAATGTAAGAGGTCTGAGGCGTAAGCTGTTAAAAATGAGGAATATGTGCTCTCAGATGGATCTGAAAATCGTAATCCTAACTGAAACATGGCTATCCCCTGACATTGCAAACGACGAAGTGAGCTTAAAAGGCATGAAACTCTTCCGAAGCGATAGGGTACACCAGATAGGAGGCGGACGTACTATTTAGATTAACAGTCATTTAAATGCCAAGAGACTACATGACACCTAATAAACCGAGGCAACAGAATCATGTTGGTGTTGTTTCAACACCAACATAAAGATAAACTGACTGAGGCCAATACTGCGACTGTCACTCTTTGAGTTTGATCAAATACTCTTAGCTGCAAATTTCAACACCTCATCTCTAAATCTCAGCAGTCAGGGTAAAACTCCCATTGGTTGGTTCCAGAGACGACTCGGGAAGCCATTAGATGCTGCGGGCTTACTGAGTGTGTATGCAGTGCCACTAGATAGACTAAGAAAGGAAAATCCTCAAACCTAGATTATTTGTTAACTAATGCCCAGCTCCTGGTCGAGGATGTTGACGTCCATACACCAGTAGCAAGTAGTGACCATTGCACAGTCTTGTTAAACATGGCCATGAACGAAGACAACTTGGTGCTATCACATTCATATGAAAAGACTGTGCGCAGTCAGGCTACTGAAATTATCCTTTGGGTTCTTCAGTCACTCTCCAAGATCGACCAGACTAACAATAATCTAACTTCTTTTACAAGATCCTCAAGAAACAGCCTCCTATGATGTTAGTGGGCGAGAAGTGATATCGGCACAAAAATCGGCAAAAGCACAAAGACGAAATTGATCACGATCAAATCCTTCATACACCTCATAATAAGATTATGTTGTACTATGTCCTCCGAATCCTCATAAAGTTGAAAAAGCTTTTATCTTGATTCATTTGGTTGTCAAAATCCAAATAGTTAGGCATTTAGTTCTCGAATAGTTATCAAAGTTGTAACAATATCTACTTCGATGCGATTTTTCATGATTAAAATCATTTGGATTTTAGTAGCATCTACCGAAATGATGATAAATCCGAATCGAATAAGTATTCCGACTCCTTATAAAGTTGAGAAAGCTATAGGAAATCTAAAGCGAAGTAGAGCAGCAGATCGTGATAGGCTAACTCCTGATATTTTTGAGGATGATGGTCCAGCTTTAGCAGCCAGATTGTTTGAGATCTTAGATAGAATCTGGGAATTGAGCATAATCCCATCCAACTGGTCTCAATCCCAATCTATAAAAAAGGACAGAAGTCTTCTTGTGACAATCACAGAGGGATCAGTTTAACTAATGTAGTGTCTAAATTGTTAGCCTCGAAAATACTTAGACGCTTAACGAAAGCTCGTGAAGAGCAGGCCAGAGAAAGCTAGTCTGGTTTTCGACCTGGACGTGGTTGTATAGATCACATTTTCACACAGACACACATTTAGGCGTCCGACAATAGTTGTCTTCCTTTACTGTGAAGCGGCATTTGACTCTGTTGATCGTGAGGTTCTACGGCAGTGTGTGTCATTAAAAGATGTACCAGAGAAGTACATTAACCTTATACAGGCTCTCTACTCAAACACCACTGATCGAGTGAGAGCTTATGGCGAATCGTCATCAGAAATTGACCACCTTAAGTGGTGTTCAACAACGTTGTCCACTCTGTCCATTTTTATTCAACTTTGTCATAGATATGCTTTTAGAGTTAACATTATCTTTGTCTGACTTCAAGATTGGACCTGATACCAGGAGTCTCGCTTGTTGACTTAGAATATGCCGATGACATAGTTCTACTTGGTGAAAATGCTGACAAAATACAGTCTTCTGACCACCCTAAGCAACAATACAAGCATGTTCGGGATGCGATTCTCCTCGTTGAAATGCGAAAGTTTGCTTCAGGGTTAACTTGCATCAGCACCTAAACTAGGGATTAGGAGTGAAGCAGTTGAGCGTGTCGAACGCATCACTTGTCTCGGGAGTCTCACCAGTACTGATTGCCTGGTGTCTGACGAAATCTTAGTGTGTATACAGAAAGCTCGATTTGCTTTTGCCAACTTGCGTCATTTATTGTGTAGGCGAGAATTCTTTTTGCTAACCAAATGACGAGTCTACTGTGCAGCAGTTCGCCCCGTCCTACTTTATGTCTGAGAAACATGACTGGTTAGAGTTGAGGATAATCGTAAGTTACTGGTTTTCGATCAAAGGTGTCTTCTAAGTTTTCTCGGACATCTTACGACCATCGGGTAAGCAATGCTGTTATTAGGAAACGGATGCGTACGCCTAACAACCGAATGCGTCGTTGAGCTATATTTTGCGGTGTGGGAATAGGTTGGATGAAACCTATGCGCGACCAAACCAAAACATGGCAGAAATCCATGAAGTCACTGACAAGCCATCCCAACGTTAGCACCTCAACGACACATCACCACCACGCCCATCGAGGCAATCCCCGAAAAATCACGAATCAAAAAGCGAACACACATGTTTGTGAACACTTTCACTCACTAAGAGTCGTTGCAACTTGTAATGCTATCCCAGCTGAGGTGACCACAGACCCCTCAGTAGAAAGCTTTAAGAAGAAACTTGATAACCACCTACTCACATACGGATTGTCATCTCACTCTTGGATAAGCTATGCCTGATGCATGTCCTCAGACTTACTAATTGTTATCATTACCATCTCCCCAGATCACTAACTTAATATATCTCACTTATCATCTCCATTTTCTGTCCCTTACCTACACTAATGTCCTCTCTCACAATCTTCACTACCAATTGATAAACTAAATTATCTATTTATTTACTCAGTTCTGAAATCTTAATAGCATTAGAAATTTCTTATTATTCTCCACACTGCCATTAACTGATCTCCGGTCTGGTAATGTGATAGCTGCTGGTATCCAGAAAGCCCCTACTGCCCCTAAACAAACGTATTCATTCAAATCACGGACATTCATACACACAAAGAACTACCGATTGACTAGAATTAGTGTATTCGAGTGGATAGATCACATCCGTTGGACACTACCGAACACCTGGAATCGTACTGAAAGAATAGGAATCGAGAGCAAAGAAATCAGTCGGTTTATACCAGCTTGTGAAAAATATATTTGATATTGTGGACAGCTCTTTATAAATACCTGTAATTTTTGGTGGTGGTTGTAATATTTCTCGGAGTTTTACAGATCTACCACTCGAAAGAAAACATATATACCATGTATCAAATCTGTTTTTGTTTTTTTTCTTTTTCAGCTAGAACAATTACAAACTAAATATGGTCTTACCGATCCATCTATAGATACAAGGATAACTCTTCAAGCTGTCAATGCCGCTTATGCTTGGGCTCAAGGTTATTCATTCTCATCATTGGTTAGTATGACTAGTGTTCCTGAAGGTCATTTAGTTCGTGGCTTGTTACAGCTTGATGAACTCTTACACCATATATGCAATGCTTGTCATCATCTTGGTGATAGAAATTTAAGTTTACAAATGAAAGAGGCAAGAAATTTAATATTACGAGATCTTGTATGTGCTCCAAGCTTGTATACTGCAAATGATCTTATGTAAATTACTTTACTTCTATAACGGTTTCTTGTTTTGTTAAGAATATACATGGTACAGATGCACTTGTTATTTTTACTGAATATCTTTATTATTGGTGAATTTTAGAGTTGTTTACACAGTTCTGTGAATATTGTTCTACTCAACTTATTGATATACTATCGCTGATTGTTTCTACTGTTTTCTTTTCATTCGGTATAATTAGTGGCAGCAACCCTTCTCTGTTTGCTTGTACATAAATTTATGTATATTCAGGTTTATTTTTGTTATTCGGCTATTTTCACTGAATTTTTCAAGAGATTATGTTTTTTGTTATGGTTTGTTGACAATGTTTGGACGTTTTTTAAACAGTTTTTTCTTTTTCAAAAGATTCGCCTTTATGCTTTGTAAAGTTGATTATTTCTTGTGCAATTTTTAAATACTATAATAAAAATTATTCAGTAAACGTCTAAAGGTTTGCTTAACTGATTCATTTTCTATAATTTGGTAAACTTAGAAAGAAAGAAGTTTTCGGTGTCCAATTTTTTATTGAGTCTCAATGAATGTGTACCAACTTACAGCTTATGTTCAGAAAATTGAATTGATTCAGAAATCGTTGAGAAATGTCGTAAACCAGGACGACCAGTGGAAAGCAAGGAATGCAAAGTTATTACCAACATTGATGAACAGTAAAACAGGTGGGTGGAGCACTTTAAGGAACTCTTGAATCGACTAACCCCACTGAACCCACCTAACATCGAGGCAGCATCCACAGACAGACCAATCGGTGTTGACCAACCAACAATTGAAGAGATCAGCATGGTCACCAGATAAATCAAGATCATCAAAGCAACGGGACCAAATAACATTCCAGCACAGGCAACGAAAGTAGACGTGGCAGCAACTGCAAAGATACTCAATATTCTCATCAGCAATATTTCGAAGGAAGAACAAGTACCACTAATCTATCTTCCTTTTCAGGTTCCTCAAGAAACAACCTTCCACGGTGTGGGCAGCCGGGAAGTGACAACCGCCCTCATACCCATAACAGCACGCGAGACCAAATTGGTCAAAATCTATGCCCCCACTGAATGCAGTTCAGACGAGGTTAAAGATGAGTTTTACAGAAAGCTTTCGGACCTCCTCCAAAAAGCTAGGCGCTCTGATATAGTAATAATGGCTGGTGACTTTAATGCTCAAGTAGGTAGACTAAGTGAGCAGGAGAGACACCTAGGTGGATGTTATGGTGTCCCGGCTCAGAGAACAGACAATGGTGACCGTCTGTTGCAAGCATGCTCTGACAATCGCCTATTCTTAGCAAACACTAACTTTAGGCATAAGGAAAAGCATCTGTTGACCTGGCGACCTCCAAAGTCGTCTCAACGTTGGACTCAACTAGATCATATCGCCATCAGCCACCGATGGAGGGGTTCGATAGAGGACTGTCGCTCGTTCTGGGGCACATGTTTAGATTCAGATCATGCCGTAGTGCGAGCGCGTATCTGTTTGAAGCTTACTGGGCGTAGGAAAGACACCGTAAGGAAGCCTCTTAGGGTTTTACTTAATGATAATCAAACTAAGAAAATATTTCAGGAGGAACTAGAAAAACAGTTAGGCGGCCATGCAAGTGATTCCCATCCTGAAGCAGGTTGGAATCATATCAAGAAGGCTGTGGAAACAGCAATGGTATCTGCTAGCAAGGTAAACCACAATGCTAGGATGAAGCCGTGGATTTCAGTCGCATCCACCGAACTGATGGATGCTCGAAAACGCATCCCACCTGACTCTGAACATGATGAAGAGCGTAGTCAGCTTAGGTGCAGACATATAAAAAGCCTACGTAACGACCGTGAACAGTGGTGGGTGGCGAAAGCAAAAGCGATGGAAAAGGCAGCAGCGATAGGCAACGCCAGACAACTTTTCCGCCTTATCAAAGAAACCGGTATTAGGAACCCGAATGTAAGTGAGACTATCTCGGAAAAGGATGGTCTTATTATCCATTCTCAATCTAGGAGGCTGGACCGATGGGCAGAACACTTTAGGGATCAGTTCAACTGGCCTTCAGCCATTCTTCGGTTGCCCACGATCTCCAGTCATCCTGAATGGCAAATCGATTTAAGTCCTCCCAGTTTACATGAAGTTGAGAAAGCTATAGGAAATCTAAGGAGAGGTAGAGCGGCAGGTCCCGATAGGCTTACCCCTGAGATGTTTAAGGATGGTGGTCCAGTTTTAACGGTTAAACTGACCGAGATCCTAGGTAGAATCTGGGAAATGGACGTAATCCCATCTGACTGGTCTCAGTCGCTAATTGTCCCAATCTACATGAAAGGACAGAAGTCCTCTTGTGACAATCACAGGGGAATAAGTTTAACTAATATAGTTTCTAAATTGTTAGCCTCGATTATACTTAGACGTCTAACTAGAGCTCGCGAAGAGCGGACTCGAGAAAACCAGGCTGGTTTTCGACCTGGACGTGGTTGTATAGACCACATCTTCACACTACGACAGGTCCTGGAACACAGACACACATTTAGGCGTCCGACAATAGTCGTGTTCCTGGACCTTAAGGCGGCATTCGACTCAGTGGATCGTGAGGTTCTGTGGCAGTGTCTGTCATTGAAAGGTGTACCAAAGAAGTACATTAACCTTATACAAGCACTCTACTCGAACACCACTGGTCGGGTGAGAGCATATGGCGAACTGTCATCTGAATTCTCTACATCAAGTGGTGTCCGTCAGGGCTGTCCACTCTCTCCATTCTTGTTCAACTTTGTCGTAGACATCCTCTTAGAGTTAACATTAAGCTCGTCAGATTTTTCAGGGGTTGACCTTCTACCAGGAAAGTCGCTTACTGATCTAGAATATGCCGATGACATAGTTCTTTTCGGTGAAGACGCTGACAAAATGCAGAGTCTTCTGACTACCATAAGCAACAATGCGAGCATGTTCGGGATGCGGTTTTCCCCCTCGAAATGCAAAATGTTGCTTCAAGACTGGGTTGCATTGGCACCTGAACTAGTGATAGGGAGTGAAGTAGTCGAGCGTGTAGATCACTTCACTTATCTGGGGAGTCTCATCAGTGCTGACGGTCTGGTGACTGACGAAATCTCAGCTCGGATACAGAAAGCTCGATTGGCTTTTGCCAACCTGCGTCACTTATGGCGTAGGCGTGATATCCGTTCGCTAACCAAAGGGCGGGTGTACTGCGCAGCAGTTCATTCCGTTCTATTATATGGCTGTGAAACATGGCCGTTAAGAGTAGAAGATGTTCGTAGGTTACTAGTATTCGATCATAGATGTTTAAGAAGCATTGCTCGTATATCGTGGGACAGCCGAGTAAGCAATGCTGTCGTTAGGAAACGAGTACTAGGTAAGGATGGCAGATCAATCGATGAAGTGGTGAAACTTCATCAGTTGAGGTGGTTGGGACATGTGTTACGTATGCCTAACCACCGACTGCCTCGACGAGCTATGTTTTGTGGTGTAGGAGTAGGTTGGAAGAAAGCTAGGGGCGGCCAGACCAAAACATGGCAGAAATCCATGAAGTCACTGACAAGTGGACTGAGTCATGTTGGTAGATGTAGACTACCTGGCTGGGGTCCGCGAGACGAAAGTCATCAATGGTTAGAGACCTTGAACGACATGGCTCAAAATCGTTTGCAATGGCGCAGGTGCATCCACTCTTTGAGCTCTCTCAAATACTAATCTGGATTCGTCAATACCTCTGCCTTTGTCTTTCTAACCTTATCTCACTGAATTATATTTTTTGAATAATATCTTAAACCCTAGTCTTCTTTATTATAACATTAATACCTCTACCATCTTTATCACTATGGGATTTGATTTGACATTTGCGTCTCTGTGCTAATAATGTGGTATGGCAACATGAACTTCTGTACATACGTACGAAGTTCTACGGTGCAACTGACTGACTGACTGACGATTCTTATGGGAGACCTGAATGCCAAGGTTGGAATGGACAACACTGGATATGAAGACATCATGGGACGACATGGACTGGGAGAAAGAAACGAAAATGGTGAGAGATTTGCAAACCTATGTGCCTTCAACAAGCTGGTCATCGGTGGCACAATATTCCCGCACAAACGCATACACAAAGCTACATGGATTTCACCGGATCACACTACTCAAAACTAAATTGACCATATCTGCATCAACAAAATGTTCAGAAGGACCATGGAGGATGTGAGAACCAGGAGAGGAGCTGATATAGCTTCAGATCACCATTTGCTAATCGCCAAAATGAAACTGAAACTAAAGAAGCACTGGACAACGGGGCAGACAACATCACACAAGTTTAATACGGCCTTTCTTCGGGATACTGTAAAGCTCAACGAATTCAGGATAGCCCTCACCAATAGGTTCCTGGCCTTTCAGGATCTACACAATGGAGAGGAAGCAACATTGGAGAACAATTGGAAAGGGATCAAGGAGGCAATCACTCCAACATGTCACGAAGTTCTGGGTCACAAGAAGTACCATCACAAGGAATGGATCTCTGTTGATACTCTTGCAAAAATTGAAGAGAGGAGGGACAAGAGGGCAGCAATCAATGTCAGCCAAACAAGAGCAGAGAAAGTTAAAGCACAAGCTGCATACACAGAAGCAAACAGGGAAGTGGAGAAGAGCATCAAAGCTGACAAACGAAAATATGTGGAAGATCTAGCAATGACGGCGGAAAAGGCTGCAAGAGAAGGAAACTTGAGACAATTGTACGAAACTACAAAGAAGCTGGCCGGAAACTATCGTAAACCAGAACGACCAGTGAAAAGTAAGGAAGGCAAAGTAATCAGCAACACTGAACAACTGAGAAATAGGTGGGTAGAGCACTTTAAGGAACTATTGAATCGACCAGCTCCACTGAACACACCCAACATCGAAGCGGCATCCACGGATCTCCCAATTAATATTGGCGCACCTACGATTGAGGAGATCAGTATGGCCATCAGACAAATCAAGAACGGCAAAGCAGCAGGACCAGACAACATTCCAGCAGAGGCAATGAAAGCAGATGTAGAAGCAACTGCGGAAATATTTCACATCCTTCAGAAGATTTGGGATGCGGAACAAGTACAATCAGATTGGAAAGAAGGATACCTCATCAAAATACCAAAGAAAGGCGATCTGAGCAAGTGTGAGAACTACAGAGGCATCACTCTTCTTTCAATACCAGGCAGTCTTCAACAGGGTATTGTTAAACAGAATGAAGGACTTCGTAAACGCCGAACTTCGAGATCAACAGGCTGGATTTCGTAAGGATCGATCGTGTACTGACCAAATTGCTACATTACGGATCATTGTGGAACAATCAATTGAATGGAACTCACCACTCTACATCAACTTCATCGACTACGAGAAAGCATTTGATAGCGTGGATAGGAAAACACTGTGGAGGCTTCTTCGACACTACGGTGTGTTTGAGAAAATAGTCAACATCATACGGGATTCTTATGATGGATTCAACTGCAAAATCGTGCACGATGGACAGCTAACAGACTCTTTTGAGGTGAAGACCGGTGTCAGGCAAGGTTGCTTACTCTCACCCTTTCTCTTTCTCCTGGTCATCGACTGGATTATGAAAACGTCGACATCTGGAGGGGAGCACGGTATCCAATGGACAGTTAGGATGCAGATGGACGATCTGGACTTCGCAGATGACCTGGCTCTTCTATCTCACACGCAACAACAAATGCAAGAGAAGACGACCAGTGTGGCAATAGCCTCAGCAGCAGTAGGTATCAACATATATAAAGGAAAACGCAAAATTCTCGGATGCAACACAACATGTACCAACCAAATCACTCTTGATGAAGATGCCTTGGAGGACGTTAACACGTTTACATATCTGGGCAGCATCATCGACAACCAAGGTGGATCTGATGCAGATGTGAGGGCGCGGATTGGCAAAGCAAGGGCTGCATTTCTACAGTCGAAAAATATCTGGAACTCCAAACAACTTTCAACCAAAACCAAAATAAGGATTTTCAATACAAATGTGAAGACAGTTCTACTGTATGGAGCGGAAACATGGAGAACTACCAAAGCCATTATCCAGAAGATACAAGTGTTTATTAACAGCTGTCTTCGCAAAATACTTCGTATTCGTTGGCCAGACACCATCAGCAACAACGAACTGTGGGAGAGAACAAACCAGATTCCAGTGGATGAGGAAATCAGGAAGAAGTGGTGGAAGTAGATAGGACACACACTACGAAAAGCACCTAACTGCGTCACGAGACAAGCCCTCACATGGAACCCTCAAGGCAAAAGGAAAAGAGGAAGGCCAAGGAACACACTACGCCGAGAAATAGAGAAAGATATGAGAGGAATGAACAAACAGTGGACAGAACTGGAGAGGGAAGCCCAGGACAGACTTGGTTGGAGAAAACTGGTGGGCGGCCTATGTTCCATTGGGGGTAACAGGCGAAAGTAAGTAAGTAATCATGACGAGCAAGGTGGATCTGATGCGGGTGTGAAAGTGCGGATCGGCAACGCAAGGACTCCATTTCTGTAATTAAACATCTGGAACTCAAAACAACTGTCAACAAACACCGAAGTCACAATCTTCAATACAAATGTCAAGGAACACATTACGCAGAGTAATGGAGGTATACATGAGGAGAATGTAGAACAGTTGAACAGAACTAGGAAGGAATGACCAGGACAGAATAAGTTGGAGAATACCGTTCGGCGGCTTATGCTGCAGTGGGGGTAACAGGAGATTGTATGTAACCTGCGAACCTTAATCTTCTTCATTACCGCTGATACTTCTACCAACTACACTACTAAGGAATATGAATTGAGAATTGCGACAGTGCTAAAGTGGTATATCAACCTGAGCTGATGTACGTACGTACCAAGTTCTACGTTGTAGCTGACCGTCATAGCTTCAACCTGACAACCCAATAAATATTATATATATATCATTAACAGGGATTCACGTTTCGTACTTAGTCTCGTAATTTGGTGTAATATAGGGGAAAATTTTAGATTCGAAAACTATTGATTCTACAAATTCGGAACATGCAGTCGATATACAACGTGGAATCTGACGTGGGTCAGTTCAAGATGTCAAACGAAATTAACGCAGGGAGATGGAATCATTAAGACAAACACCATGGCAGTAGACAACAGATGTAGAAAGTCGGATTCGAAATGCCTTAAACAGCAATTACTTTTTAGAAAGGGGTAGAAAACGTTAAATGGCATTTGCTGTCAGTTTACATACCCATTATTAAAACCAACAAACTAGGGAAACCAAAGCACTGGCAAATATTATATCCACTGTAAGCTACTCCTGCGGAAAATACTACATCATCAACCAGGGAGAGAGGTTGGCTCGATTGGCTTTTGCCAACCTGCGTCACTTATGGCGTAGACGAGATATCCGTTTGCTGACTAAAGGACGAGTGTACTGCTCAGTAGTTCGCTCCGTCTAACTTTATGGCTGTGAAACATGGCCAGTGAGAAGAGAGGATATTCGTAGGTTACTGGTTTTCGATCATAGGTGTCTTCGAAGCATTGCTCGTATATCCTGGGACACCCGAGTGAGCAACGCTGTTATTAGGAAACGGGTACTAGGTAAGAATGGCAGATCAATCGATGAAGTGGTGAAACTTCATCAGTTGAGGTGGTTGGGACACGTGTTGCGTATGCCTAACCACCGACTGCCTCGTCGAGCTTTGTTTTGTAGTGTAGGAATAGGTTGGAAGAAAGCTAGGGGCGGCCAAACCAAAACATGGCACAAATCAATGAAGTCATTGACTAGTGGACTTAGCCATGTCGGTAGGTGTCGACTACGTGGTTGGTGTCCGCGAGATGATAATAATCGATGGTTAGAGACCTTGAATAACATGCCTCAAAATCGTTTGTAATGGCGCCAGTGCATTTATTCTCTGTGTTCTCTCAAATCCTAATCTTCTGGATTCTTCAACAACTCTAGTATTGACTTCCTCAACTTTTCTCACTGAATCATACTTCTTGAATATCTTCTAATCCTAACCTCTCCGATTACTTCTAATACCTTTACTACTTCTACTATTGGATTTGAATTGACAATTACATCTCTGTGCTCATGTGGTATGGCGACATGAACTGATGTACTTACGTACGAAGTTTACATTGCATCTGACTGATTGACTGTAAGATAGTGAGTACACCTATATAACAGCAACTGATCTACAAACAAACCACACCAAGTCATATATCGTGACTAACTTATGGATCATTAATACAAGTTTAAAACCAGTCAGCAGCTTAATTATCTGACGAAGTATCCGCATTCTACTGAAAAGTTCAGTCCGCACATTTTTACGAAATACAATATCGACTAACAGTCAGTACTAATGGCAACTTGGAATCGCCATGTTGCATACCAATAACTTATACTGCTTCATTTAACACAGACTTGACGAATCAGTTACGTCACCACCTCCAATATGTGATATACTAAAAACGAATTCAAATAACCTTTAGATTTATTGGATAACTAGAAGATTGTTGTAGGTCTTCTTGTTGTAAATCTTGGGTGGTGAAGAGGACGAGTTACACGGTGAGGAAGTGGGAACTTCAATTTACTGTCGTGGAACTGAGTAACATATGGACGACGGCACTTGGATGCTGGTAACGACTCCACTTTTATCACTTGTATAGACTCGGCTCGAGCACGGTGACGAGCACCCATCTCACGGTATAGCTGGGTAACCGCATTTTCTTCTGTCAAAGCACGATATTCTTTGTACATATTATGTGTTCCAGAACGACTATTATATCTTAGCCAGATACCGAAATTCTTAACCATTAGTGGTTTTCGCGAGTGTATCTGTGACAGAAATAATATTAAACACAATTAGTAACAAAAATACGTACATTATTGAGATAATTTATGGCTGATAGGCATGGACATACGACCATCAGCGTCATTTTATGCACCACTATTAGCTCAGATAAGAATCTAAGCCGGTAAAGGTGCAACCACAGGATAACAACAAAAAAGTATACATGCTATCATTTATATCTACCGGAGAGTGCTGTCTCGCAAGGTAAACTGTTGAACTAAGAGCAACTAATTACGACCACCCGTTTGCAAATACACGTATTATTAGGATAAATTATGGCTGGTATGCATGGACATACGACTATCGGGGTCATTAATCGCATCAGTTAGCTCAGATAAGATTATGAGTCAGTAACACAATCGAACGTCCCTCCAGAAAATCAGTCTGCCTGGAAAGATGGAGATCTTGAACGGGAGCTGTCTTCCAGGGAGTTTTCAGGTAGGCTGTACGAGCATATTGATGTCCACATAAGTGTTTCAGAATTTACGAATTGCCAAACAACTAAAAGGGGAAGGACATGCATAATAAGTAGATGAGGAGTCACTACCAAACGAGGCAAAAAAACTGATCTTAGTTAAATTATTTTGTTCTTTCTACAAACGATTACGAATGTCATAGGTTGAATAGTCAGTCATTTCGTACTAATCCTGATAACGTGCGATCCGAAGCAGTATTGACAGGAAATCGACAACGAATAGAAGTATGGCCACTTTAACTAAGTTGTAATGACTTCATTATACCAACACCTAATAATAATCATGTCAAGTATTTTGTACTGAAATTATACAGATTCTAGAAGAGCACATTAGCCTGAGTTTTACAAAAATACGTTGTGACAGGCAGTTTGGTATAACTTACTCTTTCACAAGAAACAATTTCACCGCTGCCTTTCTTCATTTTTTTCAGCTTTCTAATGAAATACCAGAAACGTGATTTAGCTACAACAGAGTTCGGAGCAAATATTCTCATTCTGTAAGGGACAGGTTTTGGCTCTTTTGATGTTGGCAGCTTACGGCCTACAACAGAGAATAATCTGAGCTAAATCACATAAACCATAAACTTATGTACCAACCTCGCCACATGCACGCATGATTACGACTGTTGAATAAAGCTCCTTTAATTGGGCAGGTCAACTAAACAAATTCTCTTCCTGTAATAATGAGTTTTTAATTCAGAACAAGCAGAATCCGCTCATTTTAGACTTTTAAAAGTAAAAGGTGAGGAGCTTTATTTGTTTTCTGCTAGTGGGCTTCTATAGATGACAAATCGCCTGTGATTCAAATGGCCGCAAATATAATGAAACAAGTTTGCTACTAACAGGCTTCCGCACCTATAAATACTGGATAGCTGAATTATTTAACCAATTGCCTTGATATATGAAGCAAGTACAACTGAAAGAAGAGTCTTTAATTCAGTTCATCATAAGATATCAAGTTTCCTCCATAGAAACTCCAGGGGAGTTTCCTGGACCATTCCAGCTGGTGGCCAATTCCAAGACTTCCCTCTTATAATGGACAGAACTTTTGCCAGTGGTTCACGTTCTTTTTATGTTATCTTCCTCAGTGCTGATGTTGTAACTGCGTAAATAGATGTTTTAGAGGCTTCTCAGAGGTGCTAAGTCATAGGAATATAACCCCGAGTACGACATATTACGGACGATGGTTATACATGAACTTTATGTGATATACTTCTAGCTTCATATAAAAACCCAAAACAAACGGTTAAGTAGTCGTTCATCATAGATACTGACCTCATTAGTTCTGTTGGACACACCATAGCTGAATAAGCTCTGTAACTCATCGGCACACAATAACGACGTGCAACGCATCTCCATGCATCAACTAGATAGCTTGGTTCACTCATTCTCCAACGTCCCAACCATCGTTCAAATTTACTTTTATTCTTCTTGATTCCTAACTTCTAGTTTGACCTGGATTTGGAAATTATCGATCTAGAACGTGTTACGGATAAAAACGTTGTCCTTCTGTGAATATCCGTGATATTTCCAAGCGTAGTAAGCATACAAAACGAACATTCGGGAAACTGTACTTCTCAGGGCTTCCAGCAGTATGCCAAGGGATTTCAGTTATTGCTTACAATCGAGTTTCTCAAGAAGATGTACCATTCTTGCGTCACTTACTAATATTTATCTTCTTGTTATCCACTCTACTTGTCTCGATAATTCACCTCTATAGACCTAAAAGTCACTCATTTCCCTCAGAGAAAGCAGAACATATTGCTAAGTCCTCTCTTCTTCTTTCAGAATACCTATCACCTAGTAGAGAATTATTGGACTCCGTTAAGTTCTTTCGACAGTCATAATTTGATGATAGGTTGTCGCTTCGAGCCATCAGTTATAAAAACCACAGTTTGTAGTCTACCAGTATGTCAGATCTATCACAAAAGTTCATTTACGGGGACATTTTACATCTTACAAACAGGGTGAGTCATGTATATCCAGATCCGACCCCAAAGACTTACAGGGGGAGGACTGAAATGCCAGTCGATCTCCTTCCAAAGCAAGTCAGAGTGCATACACTCCTGAGTCCAGAAAACTTTTATTCGATTAACGTTCGACTACCACCAAATTAGGTCAGTTATGACCATACACCCCTCCTAGGTAGCATTTTCTATTTCTCCAGTTGATGGCATTAGTTAATTTACGACAATACTGTCCCGATGTTAAGTGAATTATGAAACTTTAAAGAATCCCAGAGGAAGTAGGGAATACAATAGGCAGCTTCCATTCATCAAGATACTTCGGACTTCACAGATCACATTCTACTCCCCCACACACGGCAACAGAAAGAGATCAAAAATATCAGTGTAGAAGCAACCTACATAACAGTAGATATCAATAAACATAAAGGAAAGGCAAAATCCTCAGATAAACAAATACACCAAACTTATATCTTCATTTGTTGGTAGACCAACATTGATTGGGTTGTCCGTGGATGCTGCCTCGATGTTGGGTGGGTTCAGTGGGGTTAGTCGATTCAAGAGTTCCTTAACATAGTCTACCCACCTGTTTCCTCGTCCTTCAATCCCGGTGATTACGTTTCCTTCGTTGCTTTCAACTGGTCGTCCTGGTTTACGATATTTCCCAGCGGGCTTCTTTGTTGTATCATACAAATGTCTCATATTCCCTTCTATTGCAGCTTTTTCCGTTATCATTGTTGGGTTTCGATATATTTACGTTTGTCGGCTGTGATGTGCTCCTCTTGACTTGCTTGTTTGCTTCTCTGTATTCATCTTGTGCCTTGGGTTTCTCTGCTCTTGTTCGGCATATATTGATTACTGCCTTCGTGTTCCTCCTTTCTTGAATCTTATTTAGTGTGAAAACAGTGATCCATTCCCTGTGATAGTGCTTGTTTTGTCCCAGAACCCCATGACATGTTGAAGTGACTTCCCTCTTGATGCCTTTTGAGTTGTTTTTATGGCAGTTTCCTCTCCATTGAGTAGATTGTGACAAGCATGGGACCTATTGCTGATGGCTTTCTTGAATTCGTTGAGTTTGTCGGTATCCCGAAGATAGGCGTATTGAAATTTTGCTGTGTTATCCGTTGCTTCTTTTGTTTCCGTTTCAGTTTGACGACCAGCGAGTGATGATCTGAGGTTGTATCAGCTCCTTTCTTAGTTCTCATGTCCTCCATCGTCTTTCCTACTTTTCATTGATGCAGATATATTCGATTTGGTGTGATCTGATGTAATCTATGTGGCTTTGTGTGTGTTTGTGTGGGAATATGGTGCCTCTGATGACCAATTTGTTGATGGCGCATGGGTTTGTGAATCTCTCACGATTCTCGTTCTTTGTCCTGGTCCACGTAGTCTCGTGCTGTATCATATTCAGTGTTGTCCATTCCGACCTTCAAATTTAGGTCTCTCATCGGAATGGTTAGGCAAGTTTTTGGGCATTGATCGGTGATCGAGTACAGTCTGTTGTAGAATCGATCTTTAACGTCGTCATTGTAGTCGTTGGTAGGTGCACAGGATTAGATGACTCTCATTGTAATACCCTCTTTCCTTGTTTTAAAGGATGCTTTGATGATCATAGGTTTATGAGATTCCCATTCCATTAGTGCTCCTTATGCGTGATCGGACAGCATCAGCGCTACTCCTTGTGTTTGTCGTAATTCTGGCACCTTACGAGATTCTCTTAACCCTGAACATCCACTTCAACACCCATAGAAGAAGAGCGTTCAGGTTTACAGAAGCTATATTGCAATAGTAATACTGTCAGCCATAGACAGTGAACATTAGTAAAAACTGCCATTTTACCTACGTACAGAATGTAAAGGACAATTATTAACCTAGTGATACATCAATGAGAATGTATTACATATTATGCGTGTGTAAGAATACACGTGTACTAGAATAACAAGCGATCATGCAATTTTTTAAGCATTCAAATAAACAATCAATCATTGTAAGACCACCATTGGAAACCTGGAAGCTCTAGACGGACGTTTAATCCTCGTATGGGACACATCAGCAGTAAGCATTCACGACTCCTGCAACTCACAGAATTCGAACCCGGTACCCTCGGTATTGTGCGCGAACGCCTAACCGACGGAGAAACAGGCCGACATCCAACGGTGTTAATGTCTAACTCCAATTGATCTAGGGATTGGTACAAATTCATTGAGACTCATGAGGACCTGCGAATATCTTCTCTTACCGGCCATGTTTCTCAGACATAAAGTAGGACGGGGCGAACTGCTGCACAGTAGACTCGTCATTTGGTTAGCAAAAAGAATTCTCGCCTACACAATAAATGACGCAAGTTGGCAAAAGCAAATCGAGCTTTCTGTATACACACTAAGATTTCGTCAGACACCAGGCAATCAGTACTGGTGAGACTCCCGAGACAAGTGATGCGTTCGACACGCTCAACTGCTTCACTCCTAATCCCTAGTTTAGGTGCTGATGCAAGTTAACCCTGAAGCAAACTTTCGCATTTCAACGAGGAGAATCGCATCCCGAACATGCTTGTATTGTTGCTTAGGGTGGTCAGAAGACTGTATTTTGTCAGCATTTTCACCAAGTAGAACTATGTCATCGGCATATTCTAAGTCAACAAGCGAGACTCCTGGTATCAGGTCCAATCTTGAAGTCAGACAAAGATAATGTTAACTCTAAAAGCATATCTATGACAAAGTTGAATAAAAATGGACAGAGTGGACAACGTTGTTGAACACCACTTAAGGTGGTCAATTCTGATGACGATTCGCCATAAGCTCTCACTCGATCAGTGGTGTTTGAGTAGAGAGCCTGTATAAGGTTAATGTACTTCTCTGGTACATCTTTTAATGACACACACTGCCGTAGAACCTCACGATCAACAGAGTCAAATGCCGCTTCACAGTAAAGGAAGACAACTATTGTCGGACGCCTAAATATGTGTCTGTGTGAAAATGTGATCAATACAACCACGTCCAGGTCGAAAACCAGACTAGCTTTCTCTGGCCTGCTCTTCACGAGCTTTCGTTAAGCGTCTAAGTATTTTCGAGGCTAACAATCTAGACACTACACTAAAGCTGGACCATCATCCTCAAAAAAGATCAGGAGTTAGCCTATCACGATCTGCTGCTCTACTTCGCTTTAGACTTCCTATAGCTTTCTCAACTTTATAAGGAGTCGGAATACTTATTCGATTCGGATTTATCATCATTTCGGTAGATGCTACTAAAATCCAAATGATTTTAATCATGAAAAATCGCATCGAAGTAGATATTGTTACAACTTTGATAACTATTCGAGAACTAAATGCCTAACTATTTGGATTTTGACAACCAAATGAATCAAGATAAAAGCTTTTTCAACTTTATGAGGATTCGGAGGACATAGTACAACATAATCTTATTATGAGGTGTATGAAGGATTTGATCGTGATCAATTTCGTCTTTGTGCTTTTGCCGATTTTTGTGCCGATATCACTTCTCGCCCACTAACATCATAGGAGGCTGTTTCTTGATGATCTTGTAAAAGAAGTTAGATTATTGTTAGTCTGGTCGATCTTGGAGCGTGACTGAAGATCCCAAAGGATAATTTCAGTAGTCTGACTGCGCGCAGTCTTTTCATATGAATTTGTATTGTAAGCCCCACTTTACAGAGGTGTTACCTCACTCGACGGAAATCCGTGAGGTATTGGTTTTTTACGGTCGACCATTTCCAACTCTCTACTTTCTCGTCAGAAGGCAGTTGCTTGTTGTCTAAGGGAAACTACTGTCACCTTTCTCTGTAGTACGAGTTGGTGCTTTTAGTCTCACCGTCCTTCTACCAACCTGC